AGAAAGACACCTTTGTCTTGGGTGGAAGGAAAACAGCAGCTCAAAGAAGCTAATGGACCATATGGGTCTTCAGAAACATGCAAACATCAGTGAAACAGTGCAAGCAGCACTAAAGTAACAGCTGCTTTTCCAAGCCTTTACTTTGAAAGGATGAGGCAACAGCTCCAGGAGTAAGATCAATAGCATGATCCTGATTCTGCCATGTCAGGGAACTCGAAAAACAGTCAACTCCAATCTAGTACAAAGGTCTAATGAGATACAAAGAAAATCAGACAAGAAACAAGGGTCACGTTACTAACCACATGACTAACTTAACCAGAATTATAATAAAGTCTCCAACACTTAGAGGAAAAGCTCTCCAAGAAACCATGCAAGTCAAATAGTAACGACTTCAATGTAGAAATTACTGGCTGCAGTCTGTGACCTACCTTACTCCTGACATCTAGATGGAATACCACAGAGTACCCTTCTTCCATGAGGACCATGCTACCCTGATCAGCATCTGAGCTCACCAGTCCTTTCAAGAAGCCCTCGTATGCTCCCTGCCACTCCCATCTTCCAATTCTCCATGTATTTCGTTTTCAAATTTAACATGATACATTTTGCCTGTGGCAGAGTAGATCACTTACCTTTCCCCTATTAGCCCTCTGTTTAATCACAGTTTAATGTGAATTGATCTTTACATTAATGAGTCTGTAAAGAAGATTGATTTTCTTCAAGAGACTTTTCTGCTCAGTTTGGCAGCAGAGTAGTCCTATTGATTTCGCTTTCCCCAGTAAATACACTGCAGTGTCACTGATTCACTTCTTGTGAATCAGCTAATCCTATTTCACACCCCTTTGCTCCAAAAATCCTTTCTCTGACTTCCTTGTTATCTGTGCTTATTCAGAGCAAGATGATGGGGCCAAAGCATCTCAGACAGCTTTGGCTGTTGCTAACACACAGTCGACTGTTGTGGGTCACCATCCCCTTTGTTCCTAAATGGTTGGGGCCTTAAAAGACTTACAGCAAAAGAAAGTTATTTTTAAGTATTTAATCTGTTAACTTCCTTAATTCCTAGTCAGCTAAGGATGTCGCACAGTGTGCTCTGTTTACCATTCTTGCTCCAGAGGTCTGGTTAGCAGGCTGAGCTCTACAGCTGCCCAACAGCCTGTGCTGGTGTGCCTGAGTCAGAGGATGCTGCCTGAACCAGGTTGGCCACCTTGGAACCAGGGCAGAGGACAAGGATCCACCTCCATCATCCTGTGCAAACATCCCCAGAACGCTCCAGGATGCATTTACCCACAGGCAGGTAGACAAAGCAACGGAGACAGGCCCAGAGTAAGGGTTGAGCTCAGGGGTTTGTAGGGAATTCACAGTAACAGGGTTGATTGCAGCTCAGGTCTTCATCTCACCTGGCATGCTGGCAAGGCTAAGAGTCCTTCCAGGCCAAGTTAGCAAGGAAGTTAGAGATAAACAAGACTAATTTCTGGTGCAAATAGGCCATTTCTTCCATCTTCCCCTTCCCCACCAGATCAGGTAACAGAACCTCCTCGAGAGCCTACAGAGTTAACACACTCCTCCTGCATTCATATGGGAAACCCTCAGCCAAGAGCATGTCAGTGAAAACATCCTGCCATCAACTCCCAAATGTCCAAGTCTAGGAACTGTAGCTAAATTACAAATGCTGTGGGAATTTCAGGCAAGGTTCTCCTCTCAGCTATTCCGATGTAATTTCGGAATGAATCCAGATTCAGTCTCTCCCCCTCCCAGCTGAATTTCCTGGCTTTTGTTTGCACTAACAGATGTTTGCATTTAATGTCTGTCTTTATTTGGTAACTCGTACATAGATTATTTTTCCCTTCTGTTCTATTAAAAGCCTTATCAAGTCCCTTATGTTTGCTCTTGTTGAGATGAACGACTTTGGCGGCGTTTTCAACGGGCAAGGCAAACAAACTGACTCTTCGAGGAATAATTAAACTGAACTAAACTTCATGGCAGGGTATTAGGGCAAAGCATTTTTGATAGATACGTTATGTCTGTGTCCATCTGCAGCCTAGAACATCCAAAGACTTGCAGAAAGCTTTGAGAATTCTCTCTGCAACAGATTCCCACATATATACTCAACTGGCCCATGGTCCACACACACACACGGGGTCAAGCAAGTTTTGGATGATGGAGACAGGTATGGAAAACCCAAAAGCAGGGAATGCAAAGTAAAGCTCATTAAAGAAAACCTTTATGGAAAACGTGAGTTTAGCAGTATGGCAGATTTCTTTCCCACCTACCCAAAAAGAGAAAAAGTCTCTTCCCCTGTTTAGGAAGAGTAGGAGATGAAGTAACTCATTCAAAAGGACTGTTTTGAGTGACAAATATACAACTCTTGCTTTTATAATACATTAACAGCCCTTTGGAAATACTTAACCACATGCAATATACAAAACCTACTTCAGAGGTTTGTGAGGTAAACACACTTCACACATTTCTAAACACTGAAAGAAAAAAAGGAAATGTATTTATTTTTCTTCAGCAGTAAGAATACACTGTAACACTATACACTCAAACACAAACCAGTTTCTCAGTACACAAGTCTTCATTATGAGTCTTCACTCTGGGTTTGGTTTGGCAGCCTCTCCAATTATTACTTCACAGATTTGAAGGCCAGAAGAAATCAGTATGACCATATAATCTGATTCCTTACATCACACAATGCTAAATAACTTTACCCACCAATTTGCTTATCATGCCCATTAACCTGGAGTTGAATTAAAGGAGCATCTTTTAGGAAGCCATCCAATTGATTTAAAGACTCCCAAGGATGGAGAAAGCTTCACTTCCTCAGCAAATCATTCCAGTGTGAGTTAGTCAGCAACATCGATTGAAGTAGGTACTTTAAAACATCTTTCAAGTTATTTTTACCTCTGATAAAAATTAAAAGGAAATGCAAGGGGGGAAAAAAGTGGTATTCTCTGAAACAATCTAAACAAAGAGATCCTTCTTGCAGAGGTATGACAGCAGCATTACAAATCCCACTATCAGAGTTATTTATGTGTAGCAGCTGAGAAGAGCAAAACAGATTTCTGGAAAATGATACTAAGCAGGTCTGTTTAGAATACCGTCCTTTTATCACTTGGCTTTGTACCTTTCCCTTCCTTCTGCACCACTCTGAAATTTCAGAGGAGCTGTAAATCTACTGCCTTCCACCAGTGATTATTCCTCCCTTCCAAACTGCTCATTTCATTTCAGGAATAAAAAACCCAAAGCTCCAGCAATTTGGTCCTTTGCCAAGGGCTAAATTAATAGCAAAAATAACAACAGGGGCTTGTGAAACTCAGATCGTTTATAGACTTCGTGAGAAAGAAAAGCCGATCTTGGGGGGGCCTAAAACTATATCCTGGATGGTAAATTCTGTTGAAGTTTTCCACCCACAAATCAGATTTCTGGAGCTCTTCTTTGAATCCCCACGCACAACACACACGGTAATGCAGCAGCCCGGTGAGCTCAGATCAAGTGGCAGGCAGATGCCTTCTCATGCCAGGGGAGGCACCACCCTGCCCTGCAGCCCCCAGACCATGCACCCAGACTGCACATGGGGTCACAAGAAGCAGGGAGAGGCGGTGGCAAGGGGCAGAAACCAAACAAGATGGTTTCACACCAACTCCGTGTGACATTTGGCAGGCTCGATAACTGCGGAGACACAACCCAGCCCTGCGCCCAGGAGGTGAAGTGGTTATTTATGCATCCAACAGAGATGCTTGCTGGATCCAACACTGATGATAGCAGAGGAGCACTGTGGCTCTTGGTAAGCTCTGCAGGAACATGGTATTCCCAAGAACCAGATCGAAGGCACCATATCTCTAAGAAAAGCTAAACTCACTTCATGCCAGGAGTGAGAGATGGACACCAATTTGAAGCTGAGATCCTTAAACTGAATTAAGGCAGTGAAGGAGTTGTTCTCTTCTGCATATTTTAACACTGCCTAATGGAAGAGCAGGAAGAGTGCCAGTTAACTCAATTCTGTCCTTGATTTAAGTGACAGGAATGTACTCTTAATCAACAGATCAAGATTGTCTCAGAGTAAGTCAGAGCCCTTTGAGCATGAGAAGTCAATCACCTGGTGGTGTGGTGACAGGTATTTTCCACTACAAAAAAAGTAGCAAATCCAGGGTAAATATGGATACCTGCTTGCAGGTGTACACTGCAGGCTGGAAGTCATCACTTGAACAGCTCTAGCACTTCGCTGAAGTCCCCATTAGCCATAAACACTTCCCCTTCCCAGGAACTTGGGAGGTATCATGCATACCTCAGCAAAATTCCTTCTCGGTGTGCATTACAAGCAGACACATGCAAAAATACTTTTAGAAATCCACACTCTTGGGGTACTAAATAGTTTGATATTATAACGTTTTTATTCCCTTCAGCAGCGCCATCAACCCAAGATCCTTGTGGAAGGTACACAAGGCCTCTCAGGTGTCTAATGCTTCTGTGGTCATTTACATCACCAAAGTTAGGAACTTTAGATCTTCTGCTGGAATCTAGCTTTACAATCGCTGTTCTCTCAAAAGAAAATTTTTTTAAAAGAGTTGAAAGAGACCATAAAACCAGGTCTGGAATAAGTTCCCTGAAAGATTAGGATGTGAATAGTCTCTGGTTTTAAGAGAAAAGAAGAAATGATCAGAACAGGGCCAGGGAGAACAAAAGAACAATAAAGAAAAGGTAAAATTATATACTCCATTAATAGCACAAGTATGACATAATGGTTGAAACCCAAAGGCAGATGAAGAAAATAAAAGTTTTACTCAATATGCAACCAACATGTGGAGTTTACTGACGTAAGTTACCACTGACCATGTGAACAACATTAATCGTGCCCAACCTCATGCAAATCGCACTGCTCCAGATGAAATTTCTTAATCGAGGTGCCAACAGCCTGTTCATGAAATCTAGACTCAGCAGGAATGAGGGTGACACACAGGAAACTCTCAGAGAGCCCAAAGCCAAGGGAGGCTGCAGTGACTTACAGGTGGAGGGAGCGGACGCCGGGAGCAGCAGATCCCAGGGAGGGAATGGTGGTCAGCTCGTTGTTGTCCAGGCGCCTGCAACAAACAGAAATGAGTGACTAAAGCAAGCAGCCTGTGACCAAGCCTATGGGAGCAGGGGATGGCCGTGGCACTCCCTCATCCAGCCCCCCACGTCCCCAGGAACAACTGACATTTGGGCAGAAATGACATTTGTCTGGGACTCTGATGGCCCCACCTTATTCTTTAGTGCGTGAGAGCCACCACCACTGGTCCCACAGTAGTGTCTTTATAAAAGCAAAGCTTTCCCCCTCCCCTCTTCCACCCATTCCCTGGAAGTGCCACTGAGGAAGGCACTGTGCCCCAGCCCTCCATCTGCCCCAAGTTTCCAGTCATCACAGAGGCAAGCCTGATACAGGAGACTGTTGGCACCTACAGCCATGGGTCCCACTGCCTCAGGACTTGGATTTAACCCCCTCCCAAGCAGCAAACCTCACTTGCCCCTCCATGCCAGGTCAGGGCCTGGGGGCACAAGAGAGTACCAGCCTCAGGCATCCTCTCCACATCAGGAAAACCTCTGGAAATCCCACAGGGATTTCCCCACAAAGCCAGCAGTACACACACAAAACACTGCTGCTGGCCACAGTAATGCCACCAAAAACAGGGGACCTGCTGTATCCAGCTGGGGAGCACAGGGTCATGGAATCACAGACCTCCCACTCCTGCAAACACCAGCACAAAAAACGTCCCCTTCAATGGCCTAATGTTTGAAGTGTTTTTCTGACTGAAAACAGATCCTTGCCATGTGACCGGCTCTTCCTTGGTTTAAAGAGCCCTTGTTTGTATGGTGAATTAGTCAATTAATTACTGTAACAGTTGCTTGTCTGGCTGCTTGAAAATTACCTAATTTCTCAGCCACGTTGCCCGCTCCCCCCTCACCACCACATGCTGAAGCCATTAAAGCCAAGCCCCAGCCAGGCTGAGGTGGGAGGCACACGGGGGCTCCCCGGGACCCCCAGCCACCTCTGATCCCATCCATCAGCCACTGCTGGCCTTCAAACTGCTCCCCTTCCTCAGGGAATCTTGGAAAGATCGCAGTCTGGGTGCAAGAAGCAGAGCACCCTGCAGCTGCACAGCTGAGGTGTGCTAAGCCAATGGGCACGAGCTGGGGCAATCCTAAATTATGCTGCTGGGTTTTTGTTCCTCTTCTTTCCTTTCAAACTATTTTTGGCAGGTGGGAGAGGGCAGTGGTACATGCATCCCAGAGCTTCCCTTCTGGCTCCTCTGAGAGGAGGCAAGATATTTGATTTCACGAGGAGTTCCAGGCACTGCTGGGATAAAAGCTTTCCTCAGGCTCGGCTCTGTCCTCTGACATTATGCCCATGCCTTAAAATGTAAGGGAAAAAAAGCCAGCCAGATGCACTGCAGTTCAGCAAGGAGCTCCACTCTGCAACTAAAAGATCACTCTTGCTCATATGACAGCAAGGTCTAGAGCTTCCAAAGGTACAAAGCAAGCTGGAAAGAGCATTAAAATGCTTATTTGTGCCATGTCTTCATGAACATCTAACTGAGCATCTTTTGGAAAGCCATGGGAGAAGGAGGAGAACTAGGTCCACCCCCTGCTAGCCTGGGTCAAGTCTGGTTAAGCAGCTCTGACACCAAACAGCGCCTAACAACTGGTCAAACCCTCCTCTGACATAAGTGTGATATTCATATATCAGCCTCCTGTCATGTCAGGAGTCAGTCAGAAGTGGTTCTCCCACCTCGTTTTCTCTCTTGGCTCACAGGCACCAGTTGCTGACATAGAGGAGACAGCCAAGTTCTGTATTTGCCTGGGATTTCCCACTCATCTTCCCCTTCTCCCATGTCAAGGAATTAAAAAAAAAAAAAAAAAAAGAAAAATCTTCAAAACAGAACAGTCAGGCTCAAGAGATTCAAACTTTCAGTCTCCTTTCTCTTCCCCAGCCCTCGCTTTTGACGACACAAACCCGCTGCCTCTGGATGCTGAGGCAGAGGAGGAGGGGGGGCCACCCATATAAAATATTTACAGTCCAGTTGCCAGGCTGGTGTCAAACTGAAATGGAGCCTGCTCAAAAATAGCACAGCTCTCCAGAGCTTTCAGTGAAAGGCACTTTAGAAAATAAAAGGTGAGTTGTTTGGAGAGGAATTTTAGCACAGTTACTACCTTCTTTGTTACAAATGAGGCTGGAAAACCTCAGAGGCACACAACCATCACTTTGGTGGACCCCGTGATCCACATGACCCGAGGAAACCCCAGAAAGGACCACAGGGCCTACCCCACAGCAGCACCCTCCATCCCACCCTTTCAACCAAGGTACAAGAATGGATGTACCCAAGAGATTGTCATCAGAGGAAGCCACCAGAAGAGATGAGAGAAAGCACAGGTGTCCTGAAGGGAAGTAACATCCCACCCCAGCACACCCCCCGAGCTTCCACCACGTACTTCACAGCATGTGAGATCACAGGGTTTTGTGCCACTTTGAGACACTAAATTTCATCCCACACAGACTTAAAGCTTTAATGGAAGGAAAAGCTTCTCAAACCACAAAAAGGCCACCAAAGCAAACCACACAAACAACTGCCTAAGCCCAAGGAAAGGGAAAAGTGTAGGGAAAGTTCTGCCATTACTTTATCACAATCTCAGTAAAGCACAACAGAGCATCCAAGATAAACTATGAAGTTTAAATCTTTTGGTCTGCAGACATTTTCTTAAAATCAGGGGAAAGTTTTCAAAATATATCACACTAATTATTCACACAGAGAGACACACAGAGTTAAGCCTCGTGTAATGCTCAGGAACCACAGACTCCATGTTTGAAGCATCATGGGAGGTTTCAGGTCTTATCAATGCATCTATTATTTGGGGCAATCTCTTTCCCTGAGGGTGCCTTGGTTTGCCCAGCACAGCACGCACAGCAAAACACTGACTTGTTCTCAGGACATGCCACAGCATGATGCTTATTTCATGAATGTTTGTAAAGTGCTTAAAAAAAAACCTCAGAAAGAAGATGCTCTGGCAATACAGATGTGGTTCTCCTTGTGAAATGAAGTTTATTTCAGTGGTCTGTGGTTTAGCTGTTATTGAAAAGCAACCAAGATTGGTAGATAGGGCTTTTAATAGAGCTTCTCCCTCACACTTTCCAGAGCCTGCCTTCCAGGCTCTGCTCCAGACCTCTGCCTCCCTTCCAGTCTCCCATTTCTGACTGCTCCCTTTCCCTCCTACTCAGCCCTATGCTCTCTCCCTTCTCCCTGCCTTTCTGACACAGCAAGCAGCTCTCATCTGCACCATTACTTTGTGGGCTGCATTACCTCCCCCAAAACCCTGACACATTTTAGAGTGTCTAACTGTTCAGTGCAGCACTTTGCACAAGGGAGTTCCCTCCCTGAGGAATCAGCAGCCATGCACATTTCCCATCCCATTCCCCTGAAGTCTCATGCCTTCAGGCGCTTCCACGAATGACAGCTATTGCTAAGCCACAGTCATGTTAGGATAATTCTGAAGTCTCATGGGATCAGGGCTGCAATTCTCTTCTTTAAGCCCAGAGTAATTTAAAGCTTTCCACAGTTTAAAGAGAAGCTGAGAAAACAGATCCTCTAGGCAGCATTTTGCTGACCTGGACCACTTTCTCTCTGAGGATGATCATGAGGAACTGATTTCAGAGCGCTGCAGTCACTCCTGATGCATATTCCTAACTTAGTCATGATTCCTAGCAAGTCCCTGCTATTAGTGTAAGCAGGGGAGCCAGTGACAAACAGGTCAGGGGAGAGATGCTACAGTAATCCCCATACTCCAATCTGGCATCAGTCAGGCAGAGTCCCCCCTTCTGCCTATTTAAGAATCACAGGATCAGGCCCCTCCTTGAGCCCCAGAGCCAACACTTAATGAAAATGGACAGATGACAAGAGAAAATGCACGATACACACAGAGCACAGTATTGTTTCTGAAAGGAAATGTTTTTTCAGTTTCCCATGAGGCATCAGTAGCTCTTCAAACAGAGCCCAAACCTCAAGTATGCCAGCGATTCACCAGTCAAACACGAGCTCATTACCTCAACCCAATGCCTGCAATTTCAGTCACTTTCGTTTTTCCAAACCCAAAATCGGAGCTCCAGGAATCCTGTGAATGGCTGACTCTGTGAGTGTAACTGCTGAGCCTCTACACAGATCAGGAGCTTGGAAATCCTGAGATTCCCCCCCCCCCCCAAAAAAAAGGTTTATTTTGCCAGCAAGGGGGATCTGGTAGAGTCACTCAGACCTTCACCAGCTCCTTCTCTTCCCCACCAGAGTAGAAGACAGCTCTGCTGTTCTAGCCTGTCCTGGCAGACTTCAAACAGAATTTGTTCTGGTTCCCGAAGGAGCACAAATGTCTGAGAAAGGAGGAGGCACAGTTAAGTGCTTTGTTATCCACTACACTACACCTTTGTTTCCTGGGAGATTTGGGCTAGGTTGGCATCAGGTATCACAATCCAGGCTGTTCTGCCTTGCTTCAGGGTTATCCTTTCAGCAAGGAGCTTTGTGTGTATGTTCAGGTGTGTTGGCTGAACTGCTCCCTCAGAGCATTGCACAAGACTGAAGGAGGCAAACTCCAATGATTTCCAATAACAGCTCTGCTGTTTTAATTGGAATGTTGTGTTCTGCTAATTGATTAGTTAAAAAAAAAAAACAAAAAACAACCAGCACAAGTACAATATGGACAAAAAAACACCCTCCACACCGAGTCAGACCTCATTGAAGTTAGCTAAAGGAAGGTGCTGTCTTAGGAAACGAGATAAAATTTCCCTCTGGCCCACAAGCTGCCCTGGCAAAATACAATCAAAACCTTTGAAGGAATACTTACACTTCCTGCAGGTTCGACAGCTCTGCAAAGGCAGAAGGATCAATCTCCGTCAACTTGTTGTAGCTCAGGTTTCTGTTAAAATAAAAGACAGTGGGATCAGCAAATTGCAGTTCCCCTGCTCAGCAAAACACAATAATCTTAATTATTCTGAACTACACTTGTTTTTTTTTTTTAAAAACAGAATTTAAATGGCAGAGCAGTACTTTCCTGCTGAATACCAGAGTGAGTTTAGTTCCATGACAGAAGTATTATCTAGCTCTCCCTAAGCTCTTTCCTCCTTTGCATTAGATTACTGTGGTTTTAATTTGTCTTCGTATTACACAATTACATTTATTATTTTACTATTGGTTATTCACAACCACAAAACTAATCACAGATGAATAGGATATTTCCTGACAAATTAAAGTCTGAACTGAAACAATCAACAAACCTTCCACTAAATATTTTATAGCTATATTAGTATATCAGTAAATGTTTTTCTAATTAGTGAATACAGCTTTCAGCCATGAAGCAGTACAGGCTTTGGTCCTCAACAACTTCAAACAACACTTTCCAACTATCCAAAAGCACAAATCTCAATCACATTCTAGCACCTCACTGATGGATGGCAAATGGGTCGTGCTCTATTATCTGAAAACAGACTGGTGGTAGAACAGATCAACCTCACAGGACACCCCCGACTGGAAACACATCCAGAGCTCACCGTGCTTCGGGAAGGAGCACACTGCAAGGATTGCTAGGGCCAGCAAACAGCCAAAATAATGCAAATAAAGTACCAACTCCAAAAACCACAAGCGAGAGCTTTGCCATGCTCTGCTTTAGCACCAGATGCTGAACAGCAGAGTCTTCCCTCCGAGACAAGCACACCACACAGGACAGGTCAAACCTGCAGCCAGGGACTAACCAGAACACAGATCAATTAAGACCCAGTGACTAATGATGTGGAAAGTAACAAGTGGTTTAATTAAATGATGTATGCAGTGCTGGCATGTTTCTGTGAGAGTGTAATCTAAAGAGGGAGGAGGCAAATTGATGGGTGGTAGCAGAAAAGCAACCACAGTAAATTGTAAGGAAATTGTGAGGGGGACCTTCTTTAATTTTGCTCTGCTCCACACCCTGCTCTAGGATATTACCGTGGGTAAAATTCATCCCTCCTGTCTCCTCTGCAGGGAGGTTACACCCTCTTACTGCACCTCTGAACACAACCCAAAAGATTCACGGCCTGATTTTAGATAAGCCTTCAAACATTGAGCTGCTTATTCAAACCACCAAGCCAGTCTGACTAGAAAACCAGCCAATCTGCCCTGGTTTGTGTTTTTCCTTTGCTTTAAACCTGTGCCCGCAGAATGCAAGCAGGTCTGGAACCCAAACAGGTAAACAGGACCTAAGTCACCGAGGCACCTACTGAGCACAAGGCACATGACACAAGAGCTGAGGCACACAAAAAAAAGGGTAGAACAGCACTGACAGAAACCACCTGCTTGAACCACTCATGCCAATCCCCTGCACTCCATGGGAATGCAAAGGGAAACTTGGGCCCACAGCAACCAAATACCAAGACTTGAAAGGCTACAAAGCTTACCAACTTTGCATGATTAGCACGAAGTCATCAACACCTCCTTCAAGCTAAAAAGCAGATATTGATCACCGGCTCTCTTATAATGCATTTATGGGAAGTCCTCAAAGCGTTCCCCTGCATGAAGGAATCATTTGAGAGCTTCATGATCATGCTGTTCCCCATTTCAGAGCAGACAGCTTCTTGCATCTTGCCCCAGATGTTCAATTTTTTTGCCAATAGCTGCTGTGGAAGAAGGCTCCACAAATCAACAACACAGGCTGGCTCTTAACAGAATCTAGAACTGAAGCTATATGGGAGTGTAAAACCTAACCAAGCATCTCGGTTTAAAATATGCTGTCCTGTAAGCCCCTACTGTCTTTTAAAACACTCAAGAGACCTTTAAATCAATACCAGCCTACAGCAGATATCCATTTCACTATGAACTCAAAGGCATTTATCTAAATAAAAGTCAAACTGCAGTTTAAACTCGGAGTGCGTTTGAAAGCCAAGTCCATATTCATAGCACAATTACGAATTAAAGTGCAATTTGCCCACAGATTACATTACTACTTTTTTTTTTTTTAAACCACACAGCAAGATCAGGTTGGAGCTTGTCCTTGCCTGATCCACAGGCAAAAAGAGAAAATGCAACAGGTAACATCCTATAGGCTCAAAACAATAAAGACCAAGCCGACACAGAAATACTAGTGACAAACTGTAAGAGGGAAATACAACTGTGGACATGACCGTGCATGAATCCATCTGTTTTCATGTATTTCTATGCCTTTATTGCAGCCAGCCTTTGCATTTTTTAAGGTTATGTATTTCTCCTCAACACGTTCCTCTGCAATAGGCTGAGGGGCTATTTTATGAAGGAAAAAAACCCCAAGAATCAAAAGCACCAAAGTGATCATCCCTACACTTGTCAAAAGGACCAGATCCTTGGCTTAGCCAGAGCTCAGCAACTGAGAGACACTGACATGAAACTCAGTTCACAAGTGAAAAGAAGCAAGGGTCTTCGTAAATTGAGGGATTTCACAGCCACAGTTTAACATCATCCCAAATGACTTCCTGATTATTGTTGCTGCCATTCAAGATGTTTGAACACCTAAGTCACTGCACGAGTAGCTGGCTCTTCAGACAACACAGCCATGTTCTGTTGCTCCAGCAACAAAAATTTCAGTGGTTGCTGCAGAAATGCAGGTGAACTCCAACTTCTTGTATGCCCAAGTCTTCAGTTCTCCCCACTCTACCCACCCTGACCACCAACAGTCCTCACCAAACACACAATACACTGCTCAGAAATCAGTGGGGACACGAAAGCTAGAAATACAGTCAGTACAAAGTAAGTAGGAGAGTTGAAATTACATGAGATATGCTAAAATAAAGTTTACTGGTTCTCTGACACTAGCTGTACTTTAAAACTTACATCAAAATACCCAAGAATTTCCAGCCTGAAGCATTAGCAGTCAAAGGATGTGTTTCCCAGAACTCTGATTCCCTCGCTAGGCAGTATTTGGCATGCAAGTCACAGCATTTAAGTGAGAGAAAGAATTAACGTGCTCCAATAGATAGATCATTGGGAGTCAGGAAACCTCCGTTTATTCCTGGCTCTCTTAATCTCCTGCTGTGTGACCGGGTCATGTCACATCACCTCTCTGGAGCTTTTGTTTCCACAGCCACCCTTTGTCTGTCTTGTCTATTTAAACTGTAAATAAAATTGAGGCAGGTATTGTCTTGGTTTGCCTGATGCTGATGAAATGAGGCCTCGGTCTTGGTTGGGCTCCAGTAATGCAAATAAAGAAGGGAACTCAAAACTCGAGGTCATGGGTGCACACGATGCTCCCCCAACCCTAAGCGTGGGTCCCAAGTGTACAGCAGTGCACGAAGCACTGCAGGGGCTGGAACATTCCCACAAGTTTGGTCTCTCCAAGCTGAGTGGAGATGCCAAGCTTGGGAGCACAGCTGTCCCACTGCTGAAAGCTGTCACATTTACTGCTCTCCCGTAGCACAGAATGCATTCCTTCTTGAGGAGCCCCTTGGGATGATGCCACGCAGCACTGGACAAATGTTTCTGCCATCAGTATTCCAAAATGTCTCCTTCAAGGACATCTTCATCAAAGCCATCAACACCCAAAGCCAAACCCCTGTCCCTTCCCAAATCAGCACTCCTCTAAACCATCTGAGCTATCTCACATCGTGGGCATCTCTTCAAAGTGGCGGTTTATAAAGCATCATCCACAGTGTTTTATGCCAGTCCCAAGAGCCCATGTCTTTGGGGTCTGTTCTGCCCATTTCCTGGCACCTACACACAGAGTTAAGCCGGGCCCAAACATGGGCATACCCACACAAGAGTGCCCAGTGCTCTCCCTGCTCCTCTGCATGGGTACATGTTTCTACTGAATTACTCATGGGAGGACATTTTGATCCCTCCAAGGCAACTGTGGAAAGAAAACAGAATTCAACCAATATAAATCTGGGACAAGAGCCTGGGCTATGAGTTCAGGGAAGCATCCTAGAAAGGTCAGAAGCTTCTGCAGCAGGCAGAGAACATAAAGCAGAGCACCAACTTGAGTAGCCCTTAACAGTCAGCTGGGGTTTTTTTCAGATCAGCTTCTACTGAACTGGGAGTTTGTGGGGTTTTTTTTAACTTTAATCTGACTTAATGGCATGAGAAGTGCTCTGCATATTATTTATCCACTACATACTTCGAGTCTTCCTTGTACTGGTTAACCCAACAATGCAGGGTTTTCCCCTCTTGTCACTAAGATACTCATGATCAGGAACTGAGAGCCTGTTAAATCAATATGGGAAGGCCCCTGTTCTGTCTGTTCAGCCATTCCAGTCTCTAAATAAGAAAGCAGTGTTTGCCTTCAGTTGGCATTGTGAAACTGGCACTGTGGATCACTGAACACTGCAGAGACTGAAAAGAAAGCCTTGGTAAATAACCAGATATGTAGCCTGCCTTCAAACCACCTCCCAAAATTAATAATGCCGTCACAAATAGAGTCCTGCTTGCCAGTGAGGAGGCATCAGACAGTTCTCTGGACCATGAGACGCCAATCCTACCTCCTTGGCCAAAGTGCAGGGCAGACTGGGAGTTCATGTACAGCTTTTGGCTCTGCTTTGGAAACTTGACCAGTGCAGAGAAAAGCCACCTCTCTTTTGAAAGCAGAGGTGGCTGGCTCACCAGACAAAGGAATTGAGACATATGTGGCTCCTGGTCTCTGCTCACCAGGATGATGGCTGAATTCTGTTCAGAGAGGTGAAGGTTTCCGACCCTTACATCAAAACCATTTATCTGTGAGTGCAGAAGATTATGTCAAAAGTGCTTCTGCACCTTTTGATGACAGGCATTGGAGAAAAGGAGGATGGCTTTAAATTCTGCCACTGCCAACTGCAGCTTTCATTAAAACACTTTGTCAACCATTGTCATAACACAACTTTTCACTGCTCCTGCACAAAAGGGAACCGAGGGCCCAGAACAATTGAGCCCTGCCATAGAAATTCCTCT